TTTGCTGTTATCAACTAAAGCTGTGAAACATCTTGTGTCTTGCAGTTCTTAACTAGCCTCTTTTTGTCTCCCCTGACCCACTCTGACTGATACACAGTTTCTTTCTACCTCTGCTGGCCTTGGAGTGTAGGCACAAGTTGTGAAAAACTGCCTTTATTCATCTTTAAAGTCTACTGTTGTTCTACCCAAATCTGGCTGCTCTCCACAGTGCACCATTTCATAACCTCTTCCATTTATTTAGATGCACCCATGTCTCTCTTAATCATTTTCTCCTGAACTCCCTCCCCACCCATCCTTGCCCCTGTGCAGCTTCTGATATCTACTATTACTCTATACTTCTGTGTCATCAACATAGCATACAGATATTCATATATGTTAAATGGGGACATACAGTTTGTTACTTATAGCCTGCCTCATTTCAATTTGCTTTATATCTTCTAGGTTCATCCACTTTATGTCACATGACAGGATATCATTCTTTATGGCTGAGTACTATTCCATTGTGTGTATATGCCACATTTTCTTAATCTATTCATTGGTTCCACATCTTAGCTATTGTGAATAATAACTGCAATAAATATAGATGTGCAAATGTCTCTCCCACAGAGTGATTTCCTGTCCTTTGGGTAACTACTGTGTCATACATGTACTTCCTTTAAAAAGAAAATCTTGAACTATTTATTTCTTTAGCCAAACATCTTGATTAAAGCTAACAAGTTCCTGGAGTTTTTCAAAAGTAAAAAGTAAAAAAAAAAAAAAAAGAAAAAGAAAAGAAAAGAAAAAGAAAGAAGTTTTAAACTAAGTATCTCAATTAAAACTAACAGAAGCCTAGAGTTTTTTGCTATTCACTGTCAAACTATTCATTCAATAACAAGACAATATCATAGGTGTCTGTGATGACAAGCTTATGAAGAAGTCTTGCTAATAATTTTCTGTTGATTATCTTGGGTTACTTAACAAAAAATGAATTCTACTTTGCTATGGTTATATGAGTGTTGGCCTCAGTATACCTTATTTGAGGCATTTTACATAGACACTGATGCTATTAGTATTCAAAGTATGGTAACAGTACTTAGTTATCAGAGGGTAAAGGGACATTTGCTCACATCTTTCTCACTGTATGAGAGAAAAACGCACTATTATTTCCAGTGATACGTATGGGAGCTTATTTCTTTTAATTTGACAAACTCTCCTTCTCCAGATCTGTCCACATTTTATATTAAATACATCAATAGATTTTGCTCGGTAATGCATTCTATCTGTGTATAACAAGAGAAATCCAAGTGCTATTATTGGAATTGTTTAATCAGTGAGCACTTAAAAGATATTGGTTATAAAGGTTGAGCATAACCACCAACTCACCTCATAGTTATAGACTAAAGTATAAATGTCTCGGTGTCTTGTTTCATTGTGAAAAATTCATGTGAATTTCTAAGGTTATGAAGTTTTACACTTGTTTTATTCTAAAGCATTTTAGATTTTTTCCCTCTTACACTCTTACGCCTTTGTTCCATTTTAAAGTAATTTTAGAATATGATGTGAAGTAGGAATCCACTTTTCTTTTCCAGGCGGATAACTGCTTGTCCCAGGAAGTGATTTTCACAGCTTACTGCATGTGTGAGGCTTCTGATTTTTAAGACTCCCACTGAGCAGGGGAGAGGAGGAGGATAACAGGGTCATTAAAAGGCTGCAAAGATCAGTGTGCTTACTGAGGGTCAGTTGTTTTCTTCAATAAATGTTCTTTGGATTGTTGCAAGCTTTTGATAATTGCCAGAGTATTGGAAAAGTTGATTTGAATGCTTCTTGCCAGTGTTCTCTTATAATTTTTGAGGAGCTGATATTGGAAGGTTCTTACTTTGACATTTGGAAAGTACCTGCTCATAGGTTTTTATTCTGTTTCGGATGCAATCAGATCTCCCTATGAAGCAATAATATTGATGCCTGTGGGATATTTGGGTCAGAACTTATTAGTGGTGGGAAGGCCGCCTCCTGCATCTTCAGGACTCTAAAACACTGCCCCAGGTTTGATGCTGGGCTGCTTTCATGAGAAGGCCAATGGGTGACAACTACAGGCAGCCAATGAGACCATGCTGTTTTGCCCCTGCCAGGCTGTTTCTGTGCTCATAGATACCTGAAAACATCTGGAGATATGTTTGAGCCAAATTGCTCACTAAGAGATGTACAGCTAACTTCCATAACTGTTGACTGTATTCTCCATAACATTTATTGGACTTGGATCTTTTAGAAAGAATTTGGGAGAAACCAATGTTAGAAAGTGGAAATTGGATAGATCAGGGAAGGCTTCCTGCAGGAGGCATGAGTTTTGACCTGGTCCTAAAAGCTGGTTGAGGAAAATGTATGGTGAGTAGAAAAGTGATTGAATTTAGCACAAGACATTGAGATATCTATAGTTCATTCCATTCCACTGAACCACTGCCAAAATAAAACCCAGACTGATCCCTGGGAGAAAGCCAGAGACTGTACAATGATCCAAAAAATAAGGAGAGAAGTCAGTATATCATTGTGGTCAAAAAACCTAAGACCTGATGTCAGACAACTTACTCTCAAACCCCAGATCATCTTATTCATTACCTTTTGATTCTGGGTAATTTACGTAACCTCTCTGGCCCTATTAGGTTTATCTGTGAAATGCGAACACCCACCTAGCTCAGAGGTTTGATGAGATGATTAAATGAGATAATGTATCGACAATGCAAAGCTCACTGCCATGTATATAGTTAATGTTCACCAAAAGGCAGTCATATTTCTAATCTATGAGTCCAGCTATGAATCCAGACACCAAATGCACAAAGCCTGAAAACCACAGATGTGTGGCTAGAATAGAAACTATTTTGAATACTTCTCGCATTTGCTCTGTTTATTTCTAATTTGTTCAGAAATTTGGTAGCATCTTGAAAATGCCAGTGTGCCTCCATCATGTTAGGAAAAATCACACAGAGTATTTTTTCTATATTTGAGACAGAACTTTAAAGGGAGAGCATTCACTTCTGGGGATGGAAGATGTAGGGATAAATAGAAGCAGGGAGGGATGGGGGTTGGCAGGTGGTGTGGTGACTGGGGGTGCTGGACTCCCACATGGCCAACCATGGTTCAAGTACCAGACCTGGTGGCTCGCTCATGCTCGCTCTCTCTCTCTCTCTCTCTCACTGTGTCCCTTTCTGGTCAAATCAAAATGAGTAAATAAATGAATAAAGTTAAATAAAATAATCTTTAAAAAAGAAAAAGAAAAAAGAAGCAGGGAGGAATCAAGCAGAGAATCCCCAGAAGCTAGGTGAGATTCATAGAATTGGAGTCAAGTTCTTGATCAGCTTAACCTCCTACTAGGAGATTCTACTACCTGAGCTTTCCTCTCTTTGGGTTTAGTAGATCCAAGATCTTTAATTTTCCAAACATTAGGCAGGCGCTTGGAGAGGTTGAAGGTGCCATAGTAGTTTTTGAAATTAGAACACGGGCTCTAGTCTCAGGCCAGGCTTGAATCTGGACTCTTAACTGTGACAGTGGGCAGTTTACCTAATCTTATTGTGTCTCATTTGCTTTATCTGAACGATATCTACCTTATAGAATTGTTAGCGGTGAATGGGACAAGTTCCTAGTGTATATCAAGTGCTCAGTGCATGTTGAATATTAGGTCTTTGGAAAAGTTGTGATGTACTTCTCTATGCAAAAATGCATTATGACTTTTCTGACGACCCAATATAATAACTATCTTATAGTGGGTAAAAAGGTAGCTATTTTAGTCTTTGTTTACTTGTTTAATTCTTTCTTTACATGCTTATGTGATTTTGTTCACTATTGTGTGTCTCCTGAGCCTACTTTGTCCTAAGCATAGAGTTTATAAAATAAGTTTGTTGAGTGAAGGTGAATGCTAATACAGTGAGCAGTACTATATCAGAACTTGAGTACAAAACACGGCAGGACGTGAAGCAGTTAGCATAATGGCTATGTCGCTGAACTCACATGTAATCGACTGTAGTTTGCGTCCTGGTCCCGGTGGCTTAAACTCGCGCTGGGCGCGTGTGCGTGCGTGCCCAAGATCCCGAGAGGAGAATGGAGGAGAAGGGATTGTGGAGTGGCCATCCCCCTGGGGGGTGATTTCTCGCTTTCTGTCTCTCTGTCTCTCTGTCTCTCTGGCGAGTGCATGTGCCCTATAGCAAAAACCTCTCAAAAAAAAAAAAAGCAGGATATAATGAACTCTGAGCAGTTCAGGAAACATTTTGCAGAGAAGGTATTTTCCTTCCAGAGCTTTCACAGGACAGAGAGAGCTATCAGAACAAACTGTATCCAGGAACTATGGAAAGAGAGGCCAAATAGCCACCAGGTGGCGACATTTCAGAGGGATTCAAGCAGCAGAGGAAAAGACCATCCCCGTTTCAGCTAATTGTCCATATTTATGTCTAAGTCAGTTTTCCCTCGTCTATGGAAATGTAAGCCATAATTCTCATTCCTTTGCTCTTCTGGTCTTGTAGCACTGCCATTCTTGCCCAGAGCTGCGTTGGGAACTGTTTGGTGCTCTAGCTACTCTATCGTTACCAGACAGAAGAGAGAAATGATGCTGAGTATCTTTCTAGTTCTTCAGATGTTGGGCTTCTAATTCCCATACCACTGACCTGCTGTTTCCCCTGCTATGCCCCATAGATGGAATTAAAAGTATGAGGGAAGAAGCAAAAATAACATTTTTTTAGACATCAGGCATTACGGGAGACATTTTATATAATCATTTCATTTAATTGCCACAAAACCCTGAGAGATTAATTTCATCATTATTTTATACATCACCCTCCATCACCAATTAATAACATAGGCATGGACAGTCTTGTTTCAGGTACACTCTACCCAATACCACTGGATTATTTTTAGGCAAGTCCCAGAAAATATTTCATTTTAAAATACTTTATTACAGGGGCTTGGTGGTGGTGCAGTGGTGACACGTATGGATCTGCATTGGGTGGAGGTGGGGAGTTCTGGATTTGTGTCTGGCGGACCTCTCTGAGCATTCCTGGTGCTCGTGCATGTATTCATGATCTGGGTCATCTGGAACTGAGGATGGATTGTGGCACAGGGACCCTATTGGGAGTGTCTCCTCTGTCTTTCTTATGGAAGAAATGGATGATTAAACTTAAATAAGATACTTTTTTACGTACCTCTAAAGAGATGAGAACATTTTAACACAACAGCAATACCATTATGTCACTAAAATAGTAATACCTTAACATCATCTCATGTTTAGCCAGTGTTAAAATTTACCTGGTGGTTTCATTTTTATTTTTTTTTTTAGATTGCAGTTGACTCATTTCAATCAGGATCCAAACAAGGTCCATAGATTGCATTCAAAGTGATATGTGAGTCATGAGCCATTTTACCTAGGGATCAGAGAAGAGCATCTGTTCAGTATTTAAATAAAATTATCTAGTGAGTCAAACATGTAACCAGATATTAGAGATACAAAGATTAGGCAAACATAGTCCCCGCCCCCCCCAGGGAATTCAGGCTCGTGCTCCTCTAAAGCTGTATTAATAGATTATGTATCACAAGACTTAACACATTATGCTATCAGTATGTGTATATCTGTCTTCCCAGATAGATGTTAAGTTCCTTAAAAGTCAGTGGCCATTTCAAGTTCAATATTACATTTCTGATACTGCGCATAGGCCCTGATACACAGTACGTCTTCACAACTATGGGGAACAGGGTTTTGTCTGGCTAGGCAGTGGTGGAAAGCAATGAAGAGTTTCAAGCAGAGCAGTGATATGCTAAGGTTTTCACTGGAAGTAGGTAACAGATTGCCAGTTAGATTGGAAGCTTAACAGACTAGAGGTAGGGAGGAGACCACTGCAGAAAGTCTATGCTAGAGAGGGTGAGAACCAAAACTAAGCATTGGCAGTGGGAATGGAGAGAAGACAGCTTGGGGAGTTATTGAGGATGTGAATTGGCAGGATTTGGTCATTTCTTCAATGTAGCAAATAAAGAGATCCAGGCTTGGGTGATAGTGGTACCACCAACAGATTCAGTGTAGAGAAGCAGGTTTGGGGTGGGGAAGACGAGCTCAGTTTTGATATGCTCAGGTTGAGGTGTCTGTTCAGGAGCTCTGACCTGTCAAGAATTATGAAACCAAAACTCAGGAGAAAGGCTGAGAGTGAAGATCTACAAGTCATGAGTGCAGCTCAACGAGTCATGAGTGTGTAGATGGAGTTTAAAAGTAGATGCCATTGGGCCAGCAGATGGCATAGTCATTACATTGCTGGACTCCCAAATGGTCAATCGTGGTTGAGTCTTGGACCCAGTGGCTTAAAACTTACACTGAGCACATACACATGCATGCCCAAGATCCCAGGAGGAGAACGGAGGAGAAGGGATTGTGGCATGGCCACCCCCCATGGGTGGGTGTGGTGGTGATTTCTCACTTTCCCTCTCACTGTCTCTGTCTTCTCTCTCTGGTGAGTTCATGTGCCCCAAGGCAAAAACCTCTGGAAAAGAAAAAAATAGATGCTGTCATTTGGAGACAGGATATGCAGTGAAATAGGATGGAACCCTGGGGAACCCTGACAGAGTTGAAGAATGAGAGGCTCATAAAAAAGAAAAGAAAAAGCCAGGGAAACTGGAAGAAAATCAGAAGAGCATGATGCCACAGCAGCTAAGGGAAGAAGGAGCTCAGGAGGGAGGGAACGGGAAGGCTTGACACTTTAAAGGCAGGTAGGGAGGTGATGGTACAGAATAGTCCAGTGTGGCTAGGATCATGGAGGAGTGGCAGGAGGAGAGCTCAGAAAGGCCAGTTGGACCCTCATTCAAAAGGGTCTTTGTCAGCAGGCTTCATTCTGTATGTAAGGGGGAGTCATCAGGGGCTTCAACTAGGAGTGACATGGTCAGAGTGGGTGTTTTAGAAAGGTCAGACTGAGGCAGTGTGGAGGTGCTGTGGAGGAGGAGCTCATTGCAGTGAAGTAAATGGACATTTGGGCTGTGGAGGAATGGACAGTCTTCCAAGATCTTTAGTAGGTACAACTGGCAAGCCTTGAAAAGAGTAGCTAGCTAACACTCCTTGAGCACTTACCATGGGTCACGTTCTATTCTAAATGCTATGTGAGTTATCTTACTTAATCCTCACAACCAATTTACGGGGTAGATAATATCATTAATGTCATTTTATGTACCAGGAAACAGGAACAGAGAGATAAAGCAGTGTGCCTAACAGCTAGTAAATGGCAGAGCCTAGATTCAAACTGAGGTGGTTTGGCTCTAACCCATACTCACTAACTTCTGTATCACTTTGCCTTCATTAGGGAGGGAGGGAATTAGTATTAGGGCTAGCTGTGAGTTATCAGACATCCAAAATAACAGTGGATTAAACAGATAGAAGTTCATTTGTCTTTTATGTTAAAGCCTGACGGTCTTACTGTCCCATCATCTCTATGGCGTGACACTTGTCCTCAAGGTACTAGGTAGAATTCCAGCTATCACGTTCATGTTCTAAGCAGCAAAATGCCCAGGAAATGGGGGGGGGGATACTGTCCCTCAATATCTGTTCTCTTTGCTGCAAGAGAAAATCAAGTACTCTGACATTTGCCTGGAGAATGCATGAAGGATGCTATCGCCACCGGTTAAACTAGTACATGAAACCTTTTAGGCCTTTATTGTTTGCTTGTTTTCCTTTCATTCCCCTGGAAACAAAATCCACTGGTTTTATTGGTTTGTTTTCTGGTGTGCTGCTCCATTTCTGTCTAACCACGTAATTCTAGTGGGGGCTTCCAAGTGTAGTACTCTGTCTCCTTAGCCACAATCGATGTGATTGGCTGAAGTGTGGTCATATGATCTCATTCAAGACAATCAGAATCCTTCTCTTTAATTTCTTTTTTTAAACTTAATTGGGGGAAAATATTGTGTCCTACTTTTGTGGCCCAACTGTGAGATATGCAGCCAGAAACTGCTGGTGGCTCTTTCACAGCCACAGGGAGAAAATTTGTTTAAGACAGTACAGTCAGCTTGCAGGATGACAAATAGCAGATTCCTATTGATGTTCAAGTCTCTGATCTTACTTGTCCTTGAGGCCCACCTACCTACGATTATGTGAGACCTGTAATAAATTCCCTTGTCCAAGTTAAAGTTGTGCTTCTATTACTTGCATCAGTAAAATCCAGATTAAAGCTGTGCTCTGAACCAAGTGGTAGCAAGTGTTAAAACACGATGCTTTGTGAGGCTGACCCACATGGAAAGGTTCCAGGTGTGCTGCCAGAGACTCCCGGAGTATGCCAGGCACAAGCATATCCATGATCCGAGACTAGCTGGGGGTAGATCATGGCATCAAGACCCTGTTGGGAGTGCGCTCGCTCTCTCTCTCTCTCTCTCTCTCCCTCTCACTCTCACTCTCACTCACTCACTCATGGGAGAAATAAACTTAACAAAAGAGAAAAAGCTGCATTCTAAAAGATAATTCTGAAATTACTGTAAGTGCATTTAGAGTCTCTGTGTGTGTGTGGAGGGGTAAGGTTGGGGTGGAATGTAGTAAATAGTAACCAGGAGCAGAAAAATAATTTACGAGACCATTTCAATAGTCTACATGAAAAATAATGAGAATGTGAACTAAGACAATGTCAGTGGGTGCTGTAGGTCCTGGCCAGGCTTGCCATGCTCAGTTTCTTCTGGGCCTTGGATCAGCTGCCCCATCTACAGGCTGCTCATCTTTCATGGCTGCAGTGCTCATTATGAGCATATTGTACTCACTATCCTTGGGCATAGTTGTAATAGCTGCTTAAAAGTTTCTGTCAATTCTAATATGTCAATCATCTCAGGGTCAATCTTGATTGACTGCCTTTTCTTAGGGGTTACATTTTCCCATTTCCCTTATATCCAGTCATTTTGACTTGTTAGGACATATAGAGAGTCAGGATTCCATTATATACCTCTGAGAAGTATTGATTATTTTGTTTTAGTTGGTAGTTAACTTGATTGAACTCAAATTCTGCACTTAGTCTCTCCCTCAAGAAAGGCAGCAACTAAAATCTCTACTCAGTTCTTTTAGCCCTGAGTTGTTTGGAGACTGAATTTGCATTAATGCATAATTCAAAGATCTGCCAGATGGTTGGGCAGAGTTCATACATAGAATTGAGGCCTCTACCTACCAGGCTGTCTCCACTCCAGGATTTTACTCCCACGCTTTCCAGCTATTGTGGAAACCCTGAACTCTGTCTTCTGGTCTTCAAGCCAGAAGTTCAGTTTTAGTCACCCATCCGGGTACTGATTGGGGACCTTCGTGCAGCTAAAAGCCTTACAGATGGAATCTCATCTAGTTCTGTTCCCTTCCCTTATGTATGGATTCTTTTTTGTTTCTGCCTGCTTTGAATTGCTTGTCAAGGTAGTTGTTTGTAATATTTGTCCAGAATATATACTTGTTATACCTGAAGGAGGGTGAGTTTGATAGGAGCTACTTGGTTATCTGTTGGAAGCCAGAACCTGTCTGGTCACTGTTATATAACCTGTGGCATATTTAGCAAGAATGCTCTAGTGATGTGCTAAGAAATTGTACCCATGTCATTGATTGTAGTCAAGATACAGAACATGTTAAAAAAGAAGAAATTGTACCCAGGATCTGGATGTTAGATCTAGATCACACGGCTTGATCAAAGCAGCTTTTATAATCACAGAAGCTAAATGTAATGTTTGAGAGTATGAGAAGCTTGATAAGCAAGCCGCCACTTGGGGCTTCCCATGACCTGAAATAATCTTGTCCTAGATGGGCAGAAGCCTACAGCCATCAACTTGAGTGCTTCTCCCTCTACATGAGGAGCTTCACTCATTAAATATTCCTTATCCAGCTATCTCTGGATCATTTGTGCTTAAAAAAAATTAAAAGACAGTATTTTAATTTATTGTAGTGAACTCTAATTTCTTTCACGTTTATTGCCCTTGCTAGAGGGCACATGTGCTTGAGAGAGAGAGAGAGAGAGAGAGAGAGAGAGAGAGAAAGAGAGAACAACCCCACTCACCAATGGAGTGTGATCACCTTGCAATACTTTTTCCTGCGTTTTTCCATCCCATCAGAATTTGGGGCATACATGCACACATGCCTGGTGTGTTCTTCAAGCCTCTGGGGCTGGATTCAAACCACATTCAGCCAGGTGGGAGTTGACTCCCAATGCACAGGATATAACCACTGCACTTTAGGACCAGCCCAGTGAACTGTGATTTCTAGTTTATAGACCAGAATGATAGGCCAAGAACCCTGCTTCATCCTCTGCCATGCCTAGTATCCAGGATGCAGAGGAATGGATAGCTTGAAAAGATTTTTAGTAGGTTGAATGGCCAGGGATTAGTGACAAAGTATATGGGGGGGGGGTAAGAGAGAGGGTAGGATTTAGCATATCTTTCAAGG